GAGTTTGGTCGGGGGGAGGCTCTCAGGGCACAGCCTTGCCCGTATCCCCCCACCTCACATCAACCAGCTGGCAGATCCCAACCACTAGGGTTTGTCTTGAGTTGCAGTGCCCAGCACACCTGGGCTCAGGGCCTGGCCATGTTGGAGTTAGCCCCCAGCAAACCCATAGTGTGGGGTTAGCCCCCTTGCCTCGGGGATCGTCTGGACTGCATTGGTGGCCACAGATCCCAGCACAGACAGGATAAGATCCCAGCATCTGCTCCTCTCCGCGCTGAAGCCCCAGGGCTGCCCCCGCCACTCACGACATGTTAACACACAAGCATTTGTCTCCATTTTGGGTTCCCTCGCGGTGCCAGCTTGCTCCGCCAGCTCAAACCCAGCTTGTGCTCCGTGGCACATGTGTCTTCTCTGTCACAGCGTGCAAGCTGTTTTCACAACCACAAGTGCTTGCACACAACAGTTGACCTGTCTGCATGCCATGGGGCTAACTGGTACCCGAGGATATTGCTGATTAGTACAGATCATGCACATGCGTGTGAGTCACAAGTCACATAACTCTGTCTTTCAGACACCGCCACTCATATTTTCATCACTCTCTTGCCCACACCAAACGTTGTGACTCGTGTTGTGTGCTCACTGCTACTTCCCTGGCTCAAAGATGGCTTGGGTGATCAAGCCTTGACCCAGTTCGGTGTCAACCTAGCCATGCAGCCTTTCCATCTAGCAAGGTTCTATGGAATTGATTCATTGGGTGTGTGCTTCTGAGATGAGACTTTAAGAACTGATAATACTTAGCCTTGCCTTGAATGCAGGGGACTGGACTAGATGACCTCTCAAGGTCATAAGAACATAAGAAAGGCCGTACCAGGTCAGACCAAAGGTCCATCTAGCCCAGTATCCTGTCTACCGACAGTGGCCAATGCCAGGTGCCCCAGAGGGAGTGAACCTAACAGGCAATCATCAAGTGATCTCTCTCCTGCCATCCATCTCCATCCTCTAACAGACAGAGGCTAGGGACACCATTCCTTACCCGTCCTGGCTAATAGCCATTAATGGACTTAACCACCA